TTATGTGCAGGGAAATACTAGAGCGATAGTGATAGAATTTAAACTTGTTAACACAAATTTCCGGTTTTCGTACATTGGACATAAATAATTTTTATATCAGAAATTTTCCAGTAAATTCTTCTTGGGAGTAGAACAAAGATTAATACAATTATGTTAACATTATGTGATCCGGTTATTTTTATCAACACTTGACACATTGTTCTCAAAAGTGCGTGGTTATACTTATTAAAAATAGATTAAATTTATTTTTTTTTTAGTTTCACATAGGTTTAATGAAATAAAAGAAATCAAAAATTTAATTCAAATAATTACGACAAAAATCACTTAATATTTCTAAGTTAATTTCACTTTAGACTTAAGCAATTTTCTTACCACCCAAGTTTTTTTTCACTCGAACTTTTCCTCTCCTCCTCGCGCCAATATATCCTAATTCTTTATGCATGAGATATGCAGGTAGTGTAGCGACTATCGTTGCGAAAAATTGAATCAACCTGAGTTCAAATCCCACGACAGTCAGTTGCGTTCAATTTCACTTATAATACCCCTAAGAAGGATATGAATCCAATCCCCCCGACCAATTTATAGATTAAATAACCAGGCACCTTTCTCACACAATCTTATGGGTTAAATAGCCGCATAAACTGGTTATTTAGCCTTGGTTGGCGACCATTCTAAGAGAAGGAAAAATCCTAATCCCAAAGAGAAGACAATGGTGAATCGCTCGAATATCTTGAAATAATGCACGGCAACTTACAAATAATAAATGAAAGGAATCTGTGGAGAACCATTATCTCCAACGTCCCAAATGGAGCGAGTAAATAGCCTTGTATTATAAACAGTGTAAGAGAAGGAAAATACCATAAAGAACAAACTTGACGAAATAAGTCTGAACCAATCACATAAAATTATTAAATCATTTTGTTTAATAAAATCCCGATAAGAAATCTACGGAGATTTTAAAAGGCAGATAGACAAAAATGTCAATGTCATGGTTACACAGAGGCACCTAAAAGGTAAACGAAAACCAATTATATCAAAAATATAAATGGCACCGATATTCAAACAACTTAAGTCAGTCTGGCTGTTTGGTTCTAAGAACTGAGCTGCTGGGCGCTCATAAGTTGAAAACAACAGAAGCGTTATATATATATATATATATATATATATATATATATATATATATATATATATATATATATATATATTTGTAGGCCGGTTAATAAAATTTGAGGAATAAAAAGTAAAGAAAATGATAACAATATTGGCAATAAAATTGATGATATTTATTATATATTAACCTTTTGATTAAATTGAAGCATGAAGGGAAAGATTTTAAAGTCGGAATTTTCGGACACGCCTCTATCCTTTTTCAACGAGATGAGGTACAAATAAAGATGCATGACTTACTGTTCCGAGGAATGTTGCTGTTACAAGACTCCCTGTGGAAATTTTATTCTCTCAGTAAACTCAAATCCCAAATATTTCAATACTGATTTGCGTCTTCTTTGTTGAATGTTGAATGAAAACGCTAAAAGCACGTATCTCATCAATGCTATGCAACGGTTGGTTGAACTGTGCAGCGACAGGTAAATTGTCGTTGTCTTTAATATTTTTTTTTATTGTTATTGAAGTGAAGACGGAATTCCGTGCCTGTTTCTCCAACAAATTTAATATTTAATATTTTGCATTTGTGATAATCTTTAGTTTTAATTACACACACACACACACACACACACACACACACACACACACACACACACACACACACACACACACATATATATGAGTATAATTAATGCTACTTATATTATATAAAACATTTTTTAAAATATTACCATGGTTCGTAAGAAAAAAATATATATAAATTTATAATCTCAAAAAAGAAACACTTTGCGTAATCAACCCTAAAATATTTAGGTTTTTATTACAATTCTAATCTTCGCTTTTTAAAACAATAAACCTTGACAAAGAGTATTTAAGATAAAAGCGGTGTCATGGGAAAAACTTCCTTTTTGACATTCCGTTTTTTTGTGGCTACAGAAGTCCATGCTTGCCATTATTTTTTCATCCTGATAAACATTTTATGCCGATTTAATCTGAACAAGATTTCAAATATATAAATACACAATTTTCATAGATATAAACAGTTTTTTTTTATCTCTTTTCTGCATCGACGTTGCAACTTCTGGTCTTTTGATCGGTTTTATCATTTGTTGAAATCTTAACGTCAGATTTTGGCACCAAAAACCGCGTGGGTGGCAAACATCTGTCGATGTTATGGAAAACCAGATTAGAAGAACAAAAGTAAGGATTGATCGTCAAAGCAGTACACAATGAAGAATATCCCACAGTTATTTTTTAAAAATAATCAATTCATTCCAAGCAAGGAAATAAAGCCACTAAGACGCAAGGGGGTTACTGATTATGAGAGAATATGTTCGAAAAGAAAAACATTATTAAGGAAAGACAACAATAAAAGAACAGGAATGAAGACATCAAATGATAACATTTGATTGTTTTTAAATTATTGAAGATGAAAGTTGATTGGGAATCAAGAGGCCGAAAGAAAGGTCAACAAGTGAGAAGTTCGAGAGAAGAAATTGTTAGCATAAAACATATTTGCATGTAGCCATTTGAACTGTAAAAAGCGAAGTTGGATTATTTCTCTTCAAAATGACAAGTCATCATTTAGTGCTAGCAACCATTCTAATGAATACAATCACGATGATGATGATGATGATGATGATGATAATTTGTTAATTTTTCAAATTTCGGAAATTTAATTTTTTTTAATCATTTCATCACAAGCAAAGCAATAAAGCCACTAAGACGCAAAGGTGGGGGCGGGGTTACTGAGTGTGAAAATGTTAGAAAAGAAAAATATTATTAAGGCGAGAGAACAAGAAAAGAACAGGAAACAAGAAGGCAGAAGATAACGATTGACATTGCATTTAAATTTTTGAAGATCAAAGTTGACTGAAAAGCAAGAAGCCAGAAGAGGTTCTACAAGCAAGAAATGCGATAGAAGAAACTGTTAGCATAGAACTTACGGTTACATCTAGGCATTTCAACTGTAAAATGATAAGACCTAACTGTCAATCTGGTACTGTGCCTAAATTTATAAAGTCTAGATACCAAAGAGGAAAACTACTCATCAGAACAATTACCATGAAAGTATTTCTAGAAAAGTCATAGGGTAGCTATGTTACGGGATGGGAAACTTTATTGAAGCCGAGATACAAATTAAAGGAATTGACAGAATAGTTCGAATTGGAAAATGTTTATGGAGAATTCTTCTTCTCTTTGCCATGTCTCTCCAGGTCGTGCGTGGTTATGGATCTCCACGACTTTCTATCCTTTAAAGCTCTTAGAAAGGTTTGTCGTTTTACCATTCCTTCAAGTCACAGTTCTGCCATCCATTGATATAATTGCGTTAGCGGGGGTTATTCACTGATTTCTTCTGTCCCTCTTGTCTTCAATGTGAGTGTCAGGTTCTCCAGGCCATATTTCCTCATTATATGTCCTAGAAATGTTTTTTGATTCTACATATAAGCGTCGTTTTTTTTGTTTCCATTCACGTTAAAACTTCCTCGTTGCTCACATGTTCAGTCTATAGTATTCACAACGTCCATCTGTAGAACGATGTTCCTGTTGCCTGTTCTTCATCTGTGAGGAGGTGGTCCAGCATTTATAGTCGTAGAGGAGCAATGATAGTTTCTAAATATCTCAACCTCACACTAATCCCCAGTCCTTTCCATTTTAAGATTATGTTTCCGGTTCCTTTTAAAGTTTTCTCATTCTCTTTCAATCCCAGAAGCCCTTGCGTCTTGTAGTTACTTTCTTTTTTAATCATCGCCACAACTCCACTAACACGCAAGGGGCTGCTAGGGGTGAAAGACAATAAAAAATATTTTAAGAGGAACCGAAAACCCAATCCTAAACAGGAAACAAGGGATAAACTTCTACTTCCGTTCAAAATATATGGGAGGAGTGTGAACCGGACGATAGGCGAACCTATCTACTTCTCTTTCCCATCAGGCTGTTGTTGGTAAAGATTTATGTTATGCACCTTGTACCTAACGTGGGCGATAATGGCTCTCTCTAATATCCTATTCTTTGTAGCTCGACGCAACGTTTGACTTTTTACCATCTCACTTTATCTCCCTCTGTCATCCATTTACAGAAACACATTAGGTGATATTATACCTTGTGAGTGTTATTTTTTCCAAACTCTCTTTCCTCATTTTTTCCTAACTCTCTTTCCTCATTCAAAGATGAAAACAATAGTCCGAATAATGTAAAGAAAGAAGTTTTAAGGAAAATAGAAACAAAAAGGACACTTAAAATAAAAAAGACATGGTTGAAATATCTGAAAAGTGAGCGAAATAAAGGGTTAAGTTCGACATTCCAACCACCTGAAGAAGGCCAGAACGTACAACGACCGAAACGTTGTAATAAATATGGCAACAAAGATGAGGACAATAGTCCGAATAATGTAAATAGTGTACATAATACCTCATCTCAGAAATATAGACAGAAACTTTTTTCTTGTACACAAGTTCAGTTAATCGTATTCTCAGCATCCTTCTGTAGAACCACATTTTTGCTGTCTCAAATTTCCTCTTCATCTGTGAGGTAATTGTCATGTTTCCACTGCCATATCGGAGGACTTATATTATATAACAGTAATTCTTTGAAAATTAAAATTGTCTGGATTTATGGAAATTATCTTTTATCTCATGTTCAGTAGTGATACTCTTTTCCTGTATCTTTTCAATTTTTCCCTTATCCTATTTAAACTTCGTTGTCGGTCCATGTAAATGTTTTACAAACAAGAATTAATTTCATATACGAAAAAGGAATACATAAATATTTTCTATTGGATTTTCTTTTTTTTTAATCTTTTTCACTCCATGAAGAATTTTAATATCCCACAATTTTTCATGCTTTTCGCTCTTTTATTTCAGGTCTGAAATAAATTGGGTTTACAAAACCAATAAATGGGGCGAGAAGTTGGACAATCTAACGAGGCGGGAAGAATTAGTATAGAAGTTAGTTTATTTGAATGAAGAAATGGAATGCAATTTATACAGCAAATTATTTAATATGAGTTAAAAGAATTATTATAAAAAAAATAAGCCGTAAATAAATACGAAACTTTACAAAGCAGTTCTTTCTGATAACCTTTATTTGTTATTCTTTTCTTCACTAATCATCGTGTGGTTATTGTGGAGAGTCATGGCCTGATTGCGATAAGGCATAAATTATGTCGGCGTTTCACACTTGATAAATTCTCAAAAGTTTCTTTTCTCAACCGTAAACCTTTAAAATTAGTTTCAAAATAACGAAGAAAAAAGCTATGATAGGTTATTCTATCGCCCGGATCGGGCTTCTCTCCGGTCTTTTGATCAAGAGAAGAGGTTTATCTGTTGATTTCTTTTTAGGTTTGCGTTTCAGGTTCATTTACATCAACTCTAGATTTCTAACGTCTCCGCTTGAACACAGAAATTTGATTTAATATTTATTTTTTTCCCCTCAGTAGGAAGGGATAGGTTCATTCATCGTCCGGTTCAGACTCCTCCACGTTTTTTTTCAAAAGAAATAGAGGTTTATAGGTTTATCCCTTGTTTTTTTTTTGTTTAGCCTTTTCCTTCTAGTCTAGTTTTCTTGTTCTATTTCACTCCCAGTATCTCCTTGGGTCTTAGTGGCATTATCGCCTTGCTTCGGGTGAAAAAAAAAAAAAAAAAGAAAAAGGAAAAAAAAGGATTAAAATATTATTTAAATTTGTTAAGATTCGAATTAATTTTTAAAATTAAATGAATTATCTAAGTAGTGACCGGGTTCGACATTGCTTAACTTTGAAGATCGCACGAGAAGCTATGTTTTCAGTGTTATCTTTCACATATCTTTTGATATCTAACCAGTAAGCCTCCTCTCTCCGTGTCTTCTTTCGTTTTAATTCTTCCTCTTTTTTTTTTATATATATATATATATATATATATATATATATATATATATATATATATATATAAGAGTGGACTCTGAGATCAACACCGAGTGGCGACTATTTGTTTCACACTGAACGCAATCTTCAGGCCATATTTATATATATGAGCTTTTTTTCTTTCACCTGGCTTTCCTTTCGTTTTCGTACCTCCTACTTTTTCTCATCGCCCTTTTCCTCCCTCTTCCTCTCCCCAGCTTAAACCATTTCTTTGTTTTTCGTACATCTTACTTTTTTCCCTCGCCCTTTTCCTCTCTCTTCGTCTCCCCAGCTTAAACCATTTCTTTGTTTTTTCGTACCTCCTACTTTTCTCTCCTCACACTTTTCCTCCCTCTTCCTCTCCCCAGCTTAAACCATTTCTTTGTTTTTTTTCGTACGTCCTACTTTTTTTCTCCTCGTCCTTTTCCTCCCTCTTCCTCTCCCCAGCTTTAAACCATTTCTTTGTTTTTCATACCTCCTAATTTTCTCCTCACCCTTTTCCTCCCTCTTCCTCTCCCCGGCTTTAAGCCATTACTTTGTTTTTCGTACCTCCTACTTTTTCTCCTCGCCCTTTTCCTCCCTCTTCCTCTCCTCAGCTTAAGCCATTACTTTGTTTTTCGTACCTCCTACTTTTTCTCCTCGTCCTTTTCCTCCCTCTTCCTCTCCCCAGCGTAAACCATTTATTTCTTTTTCGTACATCCTACTTTTTCTCCTCGCCCTTTTCCTCCCTCTTCCTCTCCCCAGCTTAAACCATTTCTTTGTTTTTCGTACCTCCTACTTTTTCTCCTCGCACTTTTCCTTCCTCTTCCTCTCCCCAGCTTAAACCATTTCTTTGTTTTTCGTACCTCCTACTTTTTCTCCTCGTCCTTTTCCTCCCTCTTCCTCTCCCCAGCTTTAAACCATTTCTTTGTTTTTCATACCTCCTAATTTTCTCCTCACCCTTTTCCTCCCTCTTCCTCTCCCCGGCTTTAAGCCATTACTTTGTTTTTCGTACGTCCTACTTTTTCTCCTCGTCCTTTTCCTCCCTCTTCCTCTCCCCAGCTTTAAACCATTTCTTTGTTTTTCGTACCTCCTACTTTTTCTCCTCGCCCTTTTCCTCCCTCTTCCTCTCCCCAGCTTAAGCCATTACTTTGTTTTTCGTACGTCCTACTTTTTCTCCTCGCCCTTTTCCTCCCTCTTCCTCTCCCCAGCTTAAGCCATTACTTTGTTTTTCGTACCTCCTACTTTTTCTCCTCGTCCTTTTCCTCCCTCTTCCTCTCCCCAGCTTTAAACCATTTCTTTGTTTTTCATACCTCCCCAGCTTTTAACTATTTCTTTCTGATTAATAGTCTCATGTATATTTCCCGGACAGAAAGCGTAAATCTAGGTCAAGAGTTCAAGAGATATTACAGACACTACACTCTCATCCCAAGAACAAAAACGCGACATGGTCGGGGGTGAAACAAATTGAATAATAGTATAGACAATATTTAAGATTAAAGTGAACTATCTGTTCTTTCTTAAAAAAATAGGGAAAAATTCCTCCTTGGGGGCATTTTTAACGCAGGCTTATCATCTCTCAGTTGCGTCTCTGTCGAGCGCACTCTGCCCAAAGACAGAGGGCTTCTCTGTCAAAGGACAGAGGGGCAACTGAGAAAATAATACTGAGAGGTTCCCAGCCCTGGGGAACAGCTGCCCGAGGCCGCGCCCTCCCATTGCACAAGAGGGAGGGATCGGTGCTCGCACCGAGGCCAGCGCAACCGACGTTTGCGGGGGGTGGGGACTGTTGGGAATTTTTGTCCCTTGCCCGAGTGTACGCTCTCGGGTCCCCACTTTAAAACGACCTTGTGTCACATCTCGTTCTGGTGGGAGAACGAGTAAACACCGTATCTGTTCTTTATTAGTTATTTATTTGCGCGGCCTTGTGGGTGATGGATAATTCTCCAGCCTGCAATCCTTATCCGACAGACGAAATGTTCCCAACCTTTCACTATTATATTGGTATCACGATGGCAGATGTTCGAACAAGTTACATTCCTTAGTGCCACCAGCTCAGAGCCTCACAGCTAGGACCCTCACAGCTAGGACCCTCACCGGGCCGTGTTCCTTTGATAATGTGCATGTTTAACTCGGACAGCTTCTTCCCCTGTTGCTTTATGGAACGGACTCCCAAAAGGATGCTTTCCTGCCAACTACAATCTTGCTCTCTTTAAATTTATGGTGAACCGATGTCTATCCTATACATTCTTATAATAGGCATTTCTTTCTTACTCCTGCTCCCTTCCTTACAATCTCACTCAGTAGCCCTCTACCATGAGTGCCTCTTAGACCTCGTATTGGGTGAAATAACAGTAAATAATATATATATATATATATATATATATATATATATATATATATATATATATATATATATATATATACCTCTCTTCTCTTCTTTTTAATATACATACTTTTCTCTCATTGGAACCACTACAACATATTTCTTTTATATATATATATATATATATATATATATATATATATACATTCACAGCTAGCACCCCCCCCACCAGGTCGTCGTCCCTTTGAGTTCCTTTGATAAAAATCAAGTTTCACTCAGGCAACTTCTTCTCCAGAACTGTTATTTTGTGGAACAGACTCCCGAGAGAATGCTTCCCTGACAACTACAATTTTAGTTTCTATATGTTCAGGGTCAACCGATATCCTACTCATCCATATATTACTCTCTTACTACCTCTTCCCTTACAATATCACTCAGTAACCATCTACTTTGAGTAGCTCTTGAGCCTTTTTTAGGGTGAACTATCAATACCATCCTAGGTATGACGATAAACTACATCCGGCAGAAAGGCCTCTGATCGAGGGAGTGAGAAGCATGGAACCACCTCTTAATTGCTATTGTTTCTAGACTTTGCGTGGGCAAATATGGGCAAATAGTTACCCTCCCCCAAAAGGGGCCAAAACACTATGAAAGTATAAAAATACGTTTTTATAGTAAAAATACCGGTAATAGATTTTTAATAGTAAAACCAAAATTTCCAGGAATAGATTTTAATAGTTTAAAAAAAATTTCCAGCAAGGTTATAGAACTATTATTTTTTGGATTTTTGAAGTAAAAAAAAAAGAGATTTGACCCAAAGAGTTCAATACCTGGCCACAGCAGAGGTGAACAAAACTTAGTGAGTTGAGTTACTAAAGAGTTTTAACTGAAACGGAGATATCCCCCAAAAAAGACATGGCACATGGAAAGTAGAACGATCTACACCGATGGATGAAATAAAGGATTCGGTTCAAAATTCCAACATATATTAACCGAAGAAGGCCGAAGCGTACAACGGCCGAAACATCGTGAATTTGACAATAAAGATGAGGACAAAAATCAGAACTATATAAATAGCGTAGATAGATTTTAATAGTAAAAAAATAAATAAATAAATAAATGAAAACAAATAGCAAATCTCCCAGGAAAATTAAATGATTAAATTTAGGTATTAAATGACCCATAAAGGAGTTGATATGCCGTTAAACAAAGAAACCAAATTATCAATAAATAAAAACTTCTATTGTGGATCGGTATATATCAGAAAAATTGTCCAGATTCTGCTATACTACTACTACTACTACTACTGCTAACAAGGAATCCATATTTCAGGAGCTATAAGCACTTAGCTGCTATAAAAAAAAAATTGATTTAATGTCAACTTAATGACTTTTAGAATTGACTGTGCTTCTCGTTACTGGAATGTCGGCCAGGTGACACGTCATCCTTAGTTATTTTTACCTGGGAAAAGAAAAGTCGTGTCTTTATCTTTAACGAATATAATGACACAGTTTTTTGGGTGTGTGCAAAAATTCACAGCGTTCCCCACCACCCGCTTTGAAAACTATACAATTACTAAACAAGTATTAGAAATTTTTTTTTAAAAAAAAAAAAAAGAAAAATCCAAGAAATAATTGTTTCTGATTAACATACCCATGTCTTTCATATTTCTTTTATACGAAACGAAATATAATTATATATTTTTCTCGATAAAATATATCATACACATTTATAAGTCTACCATTTGTCTCTGCTTTGAATATTGCTGCCACAAATGGTCTGGAATTTTTGCTATGTATTTAGAGATTTTTGATATAATACAAAGAAGAATCTGCAATATTATTGGCCCTGACCTAGCACCTCGGCTTCAGTAAACTTTCCCACCTGCATAACGTAGCTTCCTTATGACTATTCTATAAATATTTCCATGGTAACATTTCTGATTTGTTTTCTTCTTTGGTATCTAGACTTTATGAATTTAAGCGCAGTACTAGATTGGCAGTTAGGTCTCATCATTTTCCAGTTGAAATGTGTAGATGTTACTGTAAGTTCTATGCTAATGTTTTCTTCTCTCGCACTTTTGAAACTCTCTTCCGGCTTCTTGTTTTCCAGTCAAAATTGATTTTCAAAAAATTAAGTGCAATATAAATCGTTAAATCTTCTTAATTCTTTTCTTATTCTTTCCCCATAATACTGTTTTATTTCTCATATTCTCTCACACTCACCTTGCATCTTAGTCGCTTTATTGCCTTATTTGTGGGAAATGATTTAAAACATTTTATATGACAGATTGTATATTAAATATATGAAATATTTAGTATAGGTATTTGAGATGGAAATATTTTGCGTTTGATATCTAATTATTTACATAAAATATATCTTATATTAAATATATCAGATATAAAATACACGAAACTGCAAAAGTGTTGATACAGCCTGTTCTCGTATCTATCTATCTATCTATCTATCTATCTATCTATCTATCTATCTATCTATCTGCAACAGCCTGTTCTCGTATCTATCTATCTATCTATCTATCTATCTATCTATCTATCTATCTATCTATCTATCTATCTACAACAGCCTTTTCTCTATCTATCTATCTATCTATCTATCTATCTATCTATCTATCTATCTATCTTCTCTATCTATCTATCTATCTACAACAGCCTGTTCTCGTATCTATCTATCTATCTATCTATCTATCTATCTATCTATCTATCTATCTATCTATCTACAACAGCCTGTTCTCGTATCTATCTATCTATCTATCTATCTATCTATCTATCTATCTATCTATCTGGTTAGATATCGGTGCCTATTACACACATATATAGGCAGGGACTCATTCAAATGAAAATAGTTCTACATCTCTATATATCCAGTTTCAAGATACAACGGCTGTGAGTCCTGCCAATGAGAGCAACAAAGGAAATACATGTGTGGATCTGAACAGCGGAGAATTTATTTTCCCCTCTCATCTTTGAGTTCAAACAATTGGGGCACTTCGATCATTTACGACTCAGTAGTGATTTAGATCCTCACTAACCTTAACCCTAACTCTAACCCTGCCGAGTGCTCCATATTTTCGGCATTGTGCCACATCTTAACCACATTTATATGTTAACATAACGACAATTATATGTCGGATTTTAAAAATACTATAGCTCATCCAATACGAGGCTCAAGAACCACTGAATGTAGAGTTTTATTGAATGTGATTGTTATAAGGGCATAAATGGAGGAGGAAGTGATACATATGAATATAAGTAAGATATATAACGGTTGACTCTAGACTTGAAGAGGTTAACTTTGTCGTGATCAGGAAGCATCCTCTTGGGAGTGTTTCACAAAGTGACAGTTCTGTTTGGGTGGAAATTTCTCCTTATCAAAGAAATACGAAAGGTTGACGCCGTGTACGCGGCATCGCGAGTTCTAGCTGTGAAGGCCTGAACTGGTGGATCAAAGGAATACTGATTTTATGGGCAAGACGACACTACTTAAGGGATTAACGCAACACCCACTTCCTGTCAGCCTTCAACCCCGTTTCACCTTTTGTAACAATGGTTTTAATCTTTCTCAGAGAAAAGGCGTCTTATCACAGCCATTAGACACGCGAAACAAAGAACATTAACTAAATAGAAAAATGTCAAGCACAGATCTTTGACACAGAATGACCACAGACATGAGTAAACGAATAAGATATTTTCGTGCAAGGCGGTGTGTGACATACATTATACACCTACATATGTCCATTTTTTTAAAATATGACGCCACCAGATGTGAGAAAGTAGGTAATTTTATTTAAGTAGGTCTTTACTGTTTGTGATTTTTTCTCAAGAGTTTATAAATAGAGACACAAACAAGTCATCATCGAATCTACGAGGATGCAGCATGAGGAAACAAACAAAAGACCCTCCACTTCCGTGCCCTTTCAGGACGTGGGCGATCATGGCTCTCCACAATTTCCTGTCCTTTATAGCTCCTAACAATGTTAGTCTTTTTGATACCTCTCCTAATCCTTGTTCTGCCAACCATTTACACAAGCTCCTTCTTCTTTTTCTATGTATCGTGTCCCTTCGGAATGTGGGTGATCATGGCTCTCCACAACTTCCTGTCCTTTGTAGCTCTTAGCAGGGGTTGTCTTTTTGTTATATCTCCTATTTCATATTCTGTCAAGCATTTACATAATCTCCATAGGTAGGTTATTTGCTGGCTTCTCTATCCTGCTTGCATTTAACATGTCCTGTGAGTGTTCAATTTTCCAAGCCTCCTTTCATCATTATTAGAAATTTAAGATGTCTCTTTCTAATTTAATGTATAAGTGTCTGTTTTGTTTTCATTTTTTCTAAAATTAGTTGTCGCTTACATATTCTGTACATGGTATTCTCAGTATCCTTCTGTAGAACCACATTTCAGCTGCCTCAAGTCTTTTTCTCATCTGTTCATGTGTTCTTTTATTGTTTTCTCTCCTTGATAATGTTTTCGTTTTCTCAGATTCTCTCACAAACCCCATTCTCCTTAGTGGCTTTATTGTCTTGTTTGGGATGAAAAAAAGCCTTGTTGTCACCTATCTAAGAATGGGAAAATAAACAAACTAAAAAAAAAAAAAAAAAAATAAATAAATAAAAATGTCCAGAAGGCCGACCCTCTACTTAAACAGTAACCTATAGTACTCTATGGCTAGATTATTAAGTCACAGTGAAAACTCTATTTCTGACTTCAAAAGTGGGGCCATAAATTAATATGTGAAATTTGAACGTCGTTTTGCGTTGAAAAACACTTTGATTTGAAAAGTTTTTGAAAGAGAATCATGATAAAATTTTTTTACACATGTTACTGTCTACGTATTTAATTTTATGAAATTTCAAAAAATCTTTTTTGTCGCACTTAATGTTTATATTAGTTATAAGCACAAGTCCTCGGAGAATTTAAATCTGAATTTTTTTTTGTCAAATAGGACCCCCAGGTAGAGAAAATTTGTTTTAAATCGTAAAATAAAAAAATGAAATAAAACTAAGACATTATTTATTTAGAAAACTTTTAATATTTTATGAGTAAAATATATTATGAACAATATTGTCGTATGAAAATGAATTTTTGTGTTACGTACTAATTACCGCAGCACACAATTTATAAAGAAACGATAAAAAAAGCAACTTGTTGCTAAAGGATATAATCAGGTTTACCAGTCCGTAGTGGAAAGGATTCTCTTCCAGGTTCAAATACACAAATAAGGAGAAACAGCCAACTGTAACACATAACAAACGTCAATATACAAATTAACAAGATTTAATTATAATGAGACGATACATGATAACATTAATCCAAAGGAATGCATGGAAAGGCGTGTGCTATACATTTCTGTATGGAAAGATATATGCGTTATATGTCTGAGTATGAAAGTCAAAACACGCTTAGCTTTAGCCTAAAATAAAATAGGATTTTCTCTTTTTTCTTTTTCTCTCTCTTTCTCTTGTTTTATATTTCTTTTTTTTTTTCTTTCCTTTTTTTACTTTCAGTTCAGTTCTTTTCGCTAGAGCGGTGATATCTTTTGGTATGTTCTTCTTTCTTCAATGTTATGAGTATTGACCCTCAAGTAATGGTCATTCACTCTCTTCTTCACATATTTAACAATGTAGAATTCGTCGTTTGAGTAGGAAGATTTGGCGCTGTAGTTGTAGCCTGTGTCTAATTGAGTGGATAACACATGCCTGTCTTAGGCGATGATCACGCTTAGTAGTTCACCCGTGCATTTGATATGTGCGGAATGGTATGTTTAGTTGAATTGGAACTCGTCTTCATTGTGCGATTTCGTTTGCTTCACGCTAACAAGTAAAAAGAGATGTTACTCGCACTAGACTCGGATTCCAACTGATTTCTGCCTATATTTTCCCGCTCAAAGTTTCGTACTTAATCATGTGATTCTGCACACGTGTAAGGATCTATTTTTAGCTCTTTCCTGGAGCTGTAACTAGTTCATTGAAGTGTGAAAAGTGTAAAAAAAAAACAAACCAAAAACAACCCCCCCAAAACACACACTTTTTACGCTTAATGCAAGGTCAAACAGGACATGCAAACATAAAATAAAAAATTCATAATGGATTCACGTTTTAATGAACGCTAAAGCATAGCTGCTAGCCATAGCATTTGAATGCAAAAAAAAAAAAAAAAATCAAGTAATGGATAGCTACATATAGTTTTTTGCCTTACCAGTTGCCACACCCCACCCTCAATAGTGATCTCAGAAAGAGATGACAGGTATATGGGAAATAAAAGTAATTCTCACTGTTACAATGCGTTTCTTGCCTCATTTAGTTGTAATAAACGGAAAAATATTCGTGAATATGAAAGAATGATGATCAAAATAAGCAGACATTACGTTTATAAGTTATTCAGACACACCTGAAAGAGAGTTTGCTCCCTAAACACACACACACACACACACACACACACACACACACACACACACACACACACATATATATATATATATATATATATATATATATGACTTACAGATCAAATGTGGCTCTGAATCCGACAGGATGATAAGATAAAGAACAAATAGGAAACGTTTATCAATGTAAAATGTTTCATTTTTATTAAAGCTTCATCAGAGATTGAGAAAGAATTGATGAAAAGACAATAATTCTGATATTTTCAATTTTGTATGGTTTGATTTTCATTGGTCAATGATATTATCACGTGCACTATAACCGTAGATAATTCTGTATATATGTCAGCTTTTAAAAATTCTAATTTATCTAAGCGGACATCAGATGATAATGTGTATTTGTAATTTTGCATGTGTGCATGTCTTGGAGGAGGAGTTCTGATGTTGTCTCTTTTAGTTGGTAATAATGTTATTATTAAGCTTTCAAAGTATTTTCTACTTAAAGAATCATGTTCTTTTTTTAATTAGCGTGGCATTAGTAAAATCAAAGTTATGGACAGTTTTGTTCTTGTGTAATACGAAAGGGTTTGAAGGAATGTCTAAACGCAAATCTCTATTGTGCCCGTAGATGCGTGTTTTTAGATCACGTGATCTCTCCCCTATACAAACATTTTTACATTGTAAACAATTTATTTGTTAAATCTCGTATTTCACAGAAGTGAAGACATTAGAACCTCTTCCACTAGACAGCCACATATATAGAATTACGAACACACCTTATGATCCGATGCCCGCATAGACAGATTAGAATTTTTATAAACTTACATACATATAGAATTATCTACGGATATAATGCACGTGATATATGAACGACCAATGAAAATCAAACCACACAAAATTGAAAATACCAGAATTCATGTTTTTTTTCTCAATCTCTAACGACGCTTTAATAAAAGTGATGCATGTTAGATTAATAAACGTTATATATTTGTTCTTTATTTACATATAATAATAATAATAATAATAATAATAATAATAATAACGGATATCCTCGTCTGCCGAAATAGGCTATTCCCCATATGAAGTAATTTGGGATTTATTTGTTTATTAATTATATTGCTCTAATAAATACGTTGAGCTCATTTTTGTGGATCAATTTTAATATTTTATATTATGAGGATCCACTTGGATTATATATAACAACGGATTTTTACCTTTACTATATATATATATATATATATATATATATATATATATATATATATATATATATATGTGTGTGTGTGTGTGTGTGCGCGCTAATGTTTAAGATGATTTTTAAAAAGGAAAAATTCTTTCTAGAAGCTTTTATTTTAGTTTAAATTTCAAGCTAATAGACTAAATTTAATATTTCCAATACTTTGCTATATCTCAAAACTAATTTAAATTGATCGGAAGGCGTTCAGGGTTTTTTGTAAATCGCTAAAAATGTTCTTTTAACCCATTTGACAGCACAATTTAATTCTCTTTATGAAAAAATCTTTCAAAAATAAAATATATTTCCTTAAACTTTATTTGAGGAATATTAACTAATTTAAAGTTTAATTAATCTGATTTGAAAGAAAAAATATTACAGCCTTGTTGAAAATCCATTTCTGCGAGGCTAAATTAAAATATTGCAGAAATGTGTTTTTTTATGTAGTTGTTTTGATGTGGATGTGGCTATTTTTATGTGGATGCGGGTGTTTTTATAAGGTGTTCAAAGCTTTATTGACAACAGGAAATTTAACTATTTTTTCTCCGGAGGATATATCTGTAAAAATTGACTAATATAACATGAACCCTTTTTTATATAATTTTTAACTACCCGAGTAATCTTAAAAATTTAGGAAAATATTCCCCATAATCTAACGTTTTATTGGATTTTAAGTACGTTGGTCATATTTACTAAAGTTATTGCTTTTATTTTCTCATAATGTCGTGTATGAACGTCCGTATTTACAAAATTCATCACTTTTATACACACATAGAGATAAATCAAAACGTGCGTCTTAAAATGGACCTCCAATCGGTTGTTAATTGGGGCAAGAATTGGCTGGTCAACTTTAACGCCTCAAAAACTAAATTACTCTATTAATCACCATAGAGATCCTTCCCTGCCCCCCATTAGAATGTCTGATAGTCAACTTCTTGAGAGCAACTCCCTGTGTCTGCTCGGTCTTACGTTGACAGGCTGACCTGAGATGGAACAAATACATTGAGTCAATTGCTTCTTCCACCGCGAGGAAAGTTGGCTCTCTGTGCCGCGCCAGGAAATTTTTCTCCCCGGAATCGATACTTCAAATATACAAATCAACCATTTGCCCTTGCATGGAGTATTGCTGCTATATATGGTCTCGGACACCTTCTGTTTACCTCGGAATTCTTGACAAGATCCAGAGACGGATATGTAATATAATTGGCCCTGATCTGGCGTCCCGTCTACAGTCACTCTCTCACAGACGCGCAGTCGCCTCCCTCTGTCTTTTCTACAAATACTTTCATGGTAATTGCTCCGATGAGCTGTTTTCACTGGTTCCCAGACTCCATGAATTCAAGCGCCCTACGAGGCTGGCATCCCGCTCCCACCCTTACACTGTAGAAACTTTTAAATGTAGCCGTCTCTTCTACTCCAATAGCTTCATACCTCGCACCTCTCGCCTGTGGAACAATTACTGTTTCCCTGAGAGCTATAATCTCCAACTATTCAAATGTAATGTCAATCGACATCTCCAGTTACCTTGATCTACCCACTATCCCTCTCCTCATCCTTTCTTCTATCACTCCTATCTACTCTCGCTCCAAATCTTCTGCAACCCCCTGCATCCTAGTGGCTTCACTCCTTGCTCGGGGCGTAATGCTTAAAAAAAATACTGCGGTCGATGAATCGTAGTAAGCTTTTCCATTTATGCTTAGTTAATTAAAATCTTCTCTGACACTTGCCGCTGTAGTAAATGCAATGACTGTTAACAAGTAACAGACTGGCAGCTGTAAGTGTGAATATATTGTTTAGAATAGACATTTGTTACAAAGCGATATATCTTTTAAAAAAAATCTCTTCCCATCGTCTTCGCCCACAAATTTCGACTTTTGACTCGGAGTAAACATAAAATTTAGTTTTTTTTTTAACGGTATACAACTGTCCCATATTCGTCGACATTTTTTCTTTAACTAAGTTCACTTAAGGCCATTTAATCCGTCTCTTTCTAACAGCAACAACAACAAATATATATATATATATATATATATATATATATATCTCCACACCTCTCTCTCTCTTCCTACCTCTTTCTCATTCTCTCTTCCCTAAATTATAAAAAAGTAATTTATATTGAATTTTTCATTTTCTTCCTTTTTTTTTTTTTTTTTTTTTAAAAATTCCTTTTTCTTTTCCATTCTTTTTTCCTTCCCCTCTTTATTTTGTCTGAAAAAATTGATTTAATTGTAAAAAAAAAACACGACAAAACATCGGTCTGAAGAGATGAATATTTAAATATATTCATGAAATAAATTATAAACGAAATGGATTTTTAAGGGTTGTCTTTTCTTCTTCTTCTTCTTCTTCTTCTTCTAATAATAATAATTTATTAAAGACCACAAACAAAAACGGTGCCTCCTTATTGATATGACAGTCCCTGCTGACTGCAATGTATCTTTGAAGATATTCAAAAAGTTGTCAAAATACAAGGACCTTGAAAGAGAAATCTCGAAAATGTGGCATTTTGGAACATCAACAATCCCTGTTGTAGTTGGAGCCCTAGAACTGGTTGGAAAAGATTGCAGTAGACTAATTGAAGGGGTTCCTGGATCTCCATGCCTCAAGGAAAAAAAAAAAAAAAAAAAAAAAACAGCCCACACTTTACGAAGAGCTTTATCTATGTAATTTTTTTTTTTTTTTTTTTTTTTCATTTCTAACCTTAGGTCCCTGGGCGGGATCCGGAAAGAAATGTGTAAACGCCAGAAATCAAAGGAAATAATAATAATAATAATAATAATAATAATAATAATAATATCATCGATCCGTTACTCACATTGATCTTTCTTTGGATTAATGTCCTCCTTGGAATTATCCCTACCAATTAACAATTGGTATTATATATATATATTTCAAGTAAGTTTTATTAAAATCGTATTTGTTTGTTTTTACGGTTTATAAACACTTTACAGGTTATTTAAAGCCAGAAAATATTTCTAGATTCTAAGAATATATTTTGATGATAATAATGGTTTACAAGTGTTACTAATTTCTTTAAATTTCTTTTACTTAATCAGTAGATTGATTGATTGATTTGTTTTCTACGGTTTCCCAAGGGCATTTGTATGCTGTTAAATATAACGAACGCGACTGGAATCGGAAATCGGCCTTCTGATTAACAATTCCAAGCCATTATCCATTATACCAGCCGCATATCCAATCTTACAGCCCCTAATATTCCCAAGCGGTCACCTATCTAGATGCTGACCAGGCTCGAATTTGCTTAACTTCGATGATCGTACGCGAACTGGTGTGTCAACGTGAAATGGTTGGGAATCCAGCACCCACTAATTCTTAAACTAAGTAGAAATAATCTACGAGAAAAGTTTTTTTTTTTTTTTAATATTAATCCATGCCGAGGTGACTGATGTTGTTATGTACTAAGCCTAGCTTAGGTTGGTACAAGGTCAAAAGTATAAGGCACTCACTGAGTTTCGATCAAACAATAATCGACCAGACTGACTCTTTAACCGTTATATCATGTTGAAGTATTTTTTTTACTAACTCTTCACCCAATGCAAGACACAAGAGCCACTCAAAGTAGAATGTTACTGAATAAGGTTGTATGAACGTAAGGAGACGAATTAAAATATGCAGATTATGAGGATATGTATGATAGATAACAGTTGACGCTAGATTTATGAGGTTAAGATGTTCGTGGTCGGGAAGCATCCTCTCAGGAGCCTGTTTCACAAAGTAGAAGTCCTTAGTAAGAAGCAGTCCGAGTGGAACTTCCTCCTTACCAATGGAATACGAAGTGAATGAAGATGATTCGTCTGAGTGAACCTGGTATGATGGGTTTTAGCTGTGAAGGTTTGAACTTGTGGAATTAATGAATGTAGCTCACCATAGAAATAGCTAATGTTCTGCAATGCTACATGCATTCGATTGCCCCAAGACCACAGATATGAAGCAGACAGTGAAGATCAAAATACTGCGCAGTAATAGCGACCAACCAGACTAGCTCATTAAACATTACCCCAACACGAAGAGGCGCCCGTGACACTTGTCAAGTCTGGTGGAAGCTTATAGCGCAAGATTTTGTTGGCCGACTTAATCTATCCCACAATAGTCTTTTAAAAGCCCCAAAGAAGACTATTATGGGATAGATTAAGGAATAGGTTAGTCTATCCCATAATAGTCACCTAATAGTCCCAAGATGTTGTTGGTCAAGTTAATCTATCCCTAAATAGTCTTCTAATAGTCCCAAAGAAAACTATTATGGGATAGATTAAGGAATAGGTTAGTCTATCCCATAATAGTCTCCTAATAGCCTCAACTATTAGAAGACTATTATGAGATAGAGATAGAACAAAATCCATGGCCGATTCATCAGAATAAAAGTCCTATTGACGTGACGGTGTATTGTAAGAATAAAGGTTATCAGAGCGGAATGTGAATTCGACGAGCTGCGTTCAATTTCCAGCCTCGTCTGTTCCATTCATTTTTCCATAATGCCCCTGGGAAAGGCATGCATGAACCCATCACTTCTTCCTCTAGTGATGAGTCAAATAGTAGGGCAGTCTAGACTTTTCAGTCCTGCTTCGCAAACAGTCAACTCTGAATAAAAAATCAATTCGCCATGGGGCAAGCAACTCCATGTAAAAAGACTACTAGCTATGAAAATAAAAAAAATGTGGTCAGTGGCCCCATTCTATACAGTTAGTGTATAGAGAGTTTGAGAAAGTGAGAGAATTTTGATTTATTTTTTTTTAAGGCATATTAACACTTTGTGGGTTATTTAAAGCCGAAATTGAACTGTAAGAATAATTATTATTGGCAAGTGAATATTTCATTAATAATTTTATTTTAAAAAATAAAAATAATTTTTACGTATACAATCCTACTACCTAATTCATACTTGGGGAGGAGGAGGAGGAGGAGGAAATAGACACATACGTTTCCCAGGAGAATTTTCGCGACAGTGAATACACGACTGGAATTCGAACTCGGCTCTCTGATTTCGAGAGAGATTTTGTCTTTGCATAGCGGCATATCAACACCTCTATGGGTTATTTAATGCGGGAATCTACATATTTTGTACGCAATTTTATTTTTTGAGGTGATAATATGTGTAGTGATAAAAGTCTTACTAATTAACCCATAGCTAGGGGAGAAGAGTTGGATTCATACCTTTCCCAAAGGTATTTGCTCATAAGTGAATGTAACAAACCCGAATAACGAACTGAAACTCGGTCATCCGGTTTCCAATTTCGTGCCATTATCCACTACACCATTCGCATATCCACGCTTACAGCACCTGGTATTCCCAAGCGGTCACCCTTCTAGACAGTGACCAGGCTCGACGTTGCTTAACTTCGGTGATCGTACGTGATGTAGCCGTAAGCCCTCGTGTGAGAGAGATTACTCGTTTAGTTAGTAGGCGAGTGTTTGACACAAGGGCTTAATCTCTCACTCTTTTTTTTTCTTTCGTTTGCCTTATGGGAAGGACGATTTATTTGGAACTCATTTCCATTGTCTGGGTTACAAGATCGACATACGATGCTTTGCAGACGAATTTGAAATGCGAACGACTCAAGCTTGGGTCACCGTTTGAGTTTATGAGGTTAAAACAGGAAATTTTCTCAGCCTTCAGTGTACATTTCATTTGTTTGAGGGCGTTGAATAAATCATGGTGTCGTTCAAGTAATCCTAAATCTTTCATTCTTTTCAGTCTCCTATCTGATTAAACTTTATCATGGCAAAGGCGACAGCGCATTGCATTGAAAGCATACTTCTTTTATGTACAGTCTCCCTTCAGGAGATAGACTCTCCACAACTTCCTATCCTTCGACCTGGCTTCCCATATAGCTTTGCCTTGTACTACCCGAAAAGAGAAACACGATCAATGAAGCTGAATAGTTATTACTCTGTGATCTTGCATTTACTCACCTTCCCAATGTTTCAGAGAGAAACAAAGTCGTTTAATGTAGAGTAACCTTATGCGTGCATATAGACCAAGGAAAACAATTATTCAGACCCCCACAACCGTTGGCTTCGGTAACCCTCTTAGTGCGGGTGGTACTACCGCAGAGTTGGAACCCCTGGGTCTAGACATAACTTCTTATTCTTTACAGCTCTAAACAATGTTTTTCCTTTTACTATCACTTCCCTCTATTCTGTCATTCATTTACAGAATCTAGTTAGGTATATTATTCGCTTTTTTCCCCCTGCTTCTCTTAAGTATATCCTGTAAGTGTCAAATTCTCCAAGCCTTCATTCCTTGTTGTGTTCCAGAAATGTCAACTGACTTTTTATGATCCTATGCATTTGTGTCTTTTTCGTTTTCTATGTCCCGGCCATGCTATTCTCAGCATCCTTCTGTAGAACCCCATTTTTTTTTTATCTCGAGTCTCTTTTTCATTTTCAAATTCCAGTATTCTCTGCCATAAAATAGGGTTGACATTACACAGCAGTTCAGCCCTTTTTCTTTGTTTCTAACGAAACTTTCCTGCATTTTAATACGTTGCTTAGCTTTTGGAAGACATCTTTCGCTATTTCAATAGTTCTTCAGATCTTTATGTCACATTTTCCGTTGTTTGTCAAAACACTCTCAACATATATCTGTACCTGCTTGATTTTTAAATCTCTAATTTGTGTCTCGCATCTTTGGACTATCGTTCTTGCTAACAACAATATATTCTGTGAGCTGATAGTTATCCATGAGTACTTTCTTCCTCTTTTCCTTTCTTGCCTTGTCTTGGATTTCCAGGAGTTTATTTCTGTGTCTGCCATCAAAACAAAGGGTCAGATCCGTATTTTATTCTGTTAAGATTGGAGTTACCAATAACAAATCCTGGTAGGACATTTCATTCACTTACAGTAATCTCCATGTATAATATGCCTTCATCCATGATAAGCACCCCAAAATATGTGCTGAAACTATGGGAAAATGCTTCTACTCACACATAATACGCACACCTTGTTTGGTAATCAAACCCTATAAATTGTACCTTTCCAATTTCATTACGGCCAGCGTTTCCTACTCTTATTAAAAAATGGTTTTAAGCATAAAATAATATTCTTCTAATTTAGTTTTATGATAATTCTTATTTTATTTTACATTTGTAACTATTGTTAGGTACATATGATTGTATTTGACATCCTTATGGGGTCACAATCGCCGAATCTTGGTGTCAAATTGTCCTATGTTTGTGGTGAGTAGTCATTTCACAACTGAAATTGACCGATGAAACGGCAATTTTTGGAAGATTTTTTGTAGCTGTGCGTAATACGCACCCCTAATTTTGCTTATTATTTTAAAAAGATGCG